AGGCAATGGAGGGTTTGTGTGGAAATTCATGATCTTCTTCATGACTTTCTTCAAAGGTCATGAATCGCCCCTCCATGGTGAGATCCACATCTTCATGAAGGGGAAACACTCCATTGCTGATCTAATTTCTTCTCCATGACATCAAATTTCTTGGCCGCTAGGACTCCTAGGCATGGTTCTGATACCAATTTGATAGGAATGAGACAGGTTTCACAGAAATTAGGGCAGAAATAATTAGTTTTATTCCACCAGTACCAAAACAAAACAATATAATCTCAAATACATAAAAGATGGACTTATAATTCGTGAGGTAGGCGAGTCTCTCCTATGACTCCATATAACAATCACATACTATTCACGAATCATATCAAACCTTATTTATGCCAAGCAATTATAAATAACAAATGACTAAATTGCTCTTTTAAGCACTCCCAAAATAAGTCTTCAAATTATTTGATGGTCTCAGCATGACGGAAAACGTCATAAGTGCCAGTTTAACATAAAGCTATTCTAAATAAAATAAAAGGGGAATTATATCTCGTAAGTGATATAGAGCCATTGTTAAAACCGCGAACTAATTTGGATTAAAGTCAATTCTAAAGTTCCATAATCCACTTGATGAAGCAACATTGAATATAATAATTTCACGCTTCCACATCTAATTGATATGATTGAAACGCTATGAAGTACCGACGAGTATAAAATTATGTATGTTAATCAAGTAGTATATGAAATTGAGGAAGTGTATCAGTCCCACGAGGAACAAATGAACTTCCAAAGTCCAAAAAAGGTCTAGTCTACTGGTTTTAAGTCCACCTTTAATGTTCAAAATTTAGTAATTTTAAAGTATTTAGTTCTAATACTTGCAAAAAGTAAAAAAATTATAACTTATTCTAAGTTTGAAAAAAATTATAACTTATTCTAAGTTTGAACCGGTGAAAGAAAACCTGAATTGGTTTTGTGCATAAGCAATCATGCAGAATTACAAGTTTATTTAGACAACTAAGAAAAATAATTTTCTTATGTACTACCCAGTAGTCATAAGAAAATTAAGGTTTCATATTACAGTCAGTCCTCTAACCATACAATCCAAGTGTTTGCAAAATTCCCTATACAATTGCACCACCATAACAATAATATTTTTAATCTTTTAGAGTAATATAGGTTAACCTAATTATTTTTTAAGCATACTCCTATAATGCTATATCACAACCAATTTTAACTTCCTAAGTGATCAGTTTATGAGTAAATTATAAGCAAAAGGTTAATCCATCAACCTAAGATCCAAATTACACAATCACATAGCAAAATCAATTCTAATTTGCATAAAATCTAATTTAGGGAGAAATAAATTTAATTCATACACATAACAGATTGATAACACAAATATTTCATTATAGATTCAATAATAAAAGAGTTAGAACAATCTCACCAGTGTTCTCTACTATTACACGAATTTACAAGAAAATTTTTGAGTTTCCAGCCACTTGGAGTACAAACAATTATGCACACTTGTTCTCTTTTGGTATAACTCTCACAAACTCTCACCCTCTTCTAAGAATCCCTCCGACGAAGAGTGATTAACGGCTTTGATAGTTCTCCGGTGACTACCACCAGTATATGTCTTCTTCCCTCGATGTTACTCCAAGGGTTGAGCCTAATGTTCATGAAAGCGAAGTTCACTTAGCGCTTAAGAGAAGTGCTAAGGCTACACGATTAGGCTGAGGAAATTTATTCTGTAAAATTGATATTAGAGCTAGTCTCAAGCATGAAAGGAGCGTTGAGGATCAAGTGGTTGGATTTAAGACCACCAATATGGAAAATATCACAACAAAGTCAAGGTTATGAGGAACAACAAGATCCTATCACACCAAAACCTCAAGCAAATTCCAAGGATGCGATCTATAGTTTTGACTCACACCAAACTTAGGTGGAGGAGGCTGTCAGTGGCACGTATGCCCAAATGAAAGATATAGGCAAATGAGTTAATAGCTTAGAGGAGGAAGATATTGCTATCCTTTCTATGATAAGGGGCAAGCTACCCCAACTATAAGAATTTTTGGAGAGACGAAATGGGTAAGCTATATGAAGAATTTATATTGGAGCTCAACATGATGCATCAAGCTCACAAGAAAGAGCTAAATAATATGCTCACACATATCGAGGATTTGCGTGGGGTCATAACTATAAGCAAGCTCACATGATTGATAGGGTCTAGTTGGTGTGCAGTTGAGGCTAGACACATTGAGGTTTCAAAACATAAGAGTTCTAGTGGTGCATGCCATGCTCGAAAAGTTGACAATTTTGTGGGAACTGGAGAAATACATTGGAGCCAGAGGCATTGCGGAGGAGGATGCTAAGCTTCAATTCACGGTCTTTATTTTTTTGACACCACTAGGTTATGGTGGAAGAGAAAGAGGGGAGACATTAAAAAGGGTATGTGCTCCATATATACATTTAGCAAGTTCAAAAGGGAACTTAAAAGGCAATTCTATCTTGAGAATGCTAAAGGCTCAAGCTCGCTTGCCAAGACTAAAGAAATCAAGATTAATCCTTCAATATATAAAGGATTTCACTGGTCTAGTTTTAGATATCCCTAATTTATCTAACAAGAAACCTCTCTTCTACTTCATGGATGGTTCCACCTTGGGCAAAGTTGGTATTAAGTTGATGTAGAGTGCAAGATCTTGTCACCACCAGAGCCATGGTGTAGAACTTGGTTGATTACTCTAAGGGCTCTAGCAGTAAACCCAAGGAAGATGACTGGAATAATTCCTGGGGAGACAGAGGTCAATGCAAGGATGAGCATCGGCAAGACTTTATCAAGAGCAAGGACTAGCCAAAAAATAGCAAAGAACTAGGTACGCCCCCCACTATCTGCTTCTTTTGCGACAATCATTATTGGGTGAGGGACTGCTCTCATAAATGGGCTTTGAGCACACTCCTTGCTACAAACCAGGAGAAAGCAAAAGTTGCACAAGTGAGGGGCAATACAAATACTTAATACAATCTCCATTGAAGAGTTAATTTTTGAGAAAATGACAGTGGGGAAGGAGACCACCACGATAGCTACTGTGGATATTGGTGTCTAATAATTTCACTCCATTGAAGAGGCAGAGAGGTTGGGTATTAGGGAAAATAATGAAGGGGGCTTCACCAAGGCAGTCAAATCAACAACAAAACTTTCCAAAGCATAGCTAGTGGTGTGAAAGCCAACATGGGTATGTGGTTAGTTGGTTGGATATGTCCATCATCTTGATGCATAACTGACAAATCATCCTAGAGATGGACTTCTTGGATCAAGCCAATACGCCCCCTATACTTTTCCTTAATAGCTTGTGCGTCATGAACATTTAGAATGCTTGTTTGATTCCCATGATTATAACCACAATAAAAAGTTTCAAAACATTGTTGGCTTTGCTAAGCTAGCCCAAGGGAAGGACATCACAACCCATGGAAAACACCTTGAAGGACTGCGATGGTCACTTGGCTTTGCTTGACAAAGATATGGAGCTAAAGACTGAAGTAGACATGCCTGAGAGTGTAATGATAGTTATTGAGTTGCTCGAAGTTATCCCACTTATAGAGCTTATTGAGCTTCTGCCACTAGGAGGCGCAAAAGTAGTAGCAGATGTTTGCTGACAAAAAGGGCTAGAGGGAATCGTCTACATAATTTTAAGGCTAGCTAGATGTCTGAAGATGTTATATGACAATCCAATGATAAGATCAAATATTACACTGAAAGAAGATGCATGAGGGCATCACAAGCTAGGAGACTGTCACGTTTCACCGATGATCAAAGAGGTTAAGCATAATAAGTTAAGGCAGATGTGATTAATAGTATCTTCTAGAATCAGCTTGAAATAGAGCCACAATATTCTAGATGGTCCATACTCATCGAGGATGGCTTAGAATAGGGTGCCATCTTCTAGAAGGTTCCAAAAGAGCCTATCAAAATTCAAACACATCTAGAAGGCCTCAAAGTGCTATAGATGCTTCGGGAATACTCTAGGAGTCTCAGGAACTCATTATAATATTTTGGATGCTTAGGAGCTGTCTAAAGTATTCTCTAATTCTCTATACATATGATTATTAGATCGTAATCCGGAATCTTCCATACGAAAGATTGCGTCCTATAAATATGAGCCACTGCTTCTCATTTGCAATTCATCCAAGAAAAACACAGGAGTTCTTAGTGTTGTAGATTTCTCCTAAGTGCAATGAAATTGTAATTTCTCTTTTAGAATTCTTGTTCTCTCTCGTGTTCTTAATGTATAGCATGGTGTGTGGAAGTTAGGTTGATTTAACACTAAAAAAAGTGCTAAAGCTGCACGATTAGCTTGAAGAAAGTTATAACGTTACAACCCGCTTATATGGGTGGTAGTTTTAGACCTTACTTAAACATTGTATGCAACTACCATAAAACCTTGCTTTTAATGTTTTTTTTTCATCGAATCTTTGGAATTAATCTAGTTTTTGTTGCTGTCAAGTTATTGGCCAGAAAGCTAGAAACACTGCATATAGTCTTATTAGTAATAAATCTGTCAAGCTATTGGCTTATAAGATTTCGCGTATCTCACTGCAAGCATTGATACTTCAAGAAGAAACTGATGTGGAACACTCTTTAGACAATGTAACTGTATTTCCATGTTACATCTCATGCTACTGAACTTGTCTTTGCACAGCACACTTTGCTCATCTTCCTGTTCTTTCCGGTGGGGATATATAAGTAAGGAAGATTTACATGCATTACCACTCAGTTTTTATGTATTTACATATCGAACACTTAAACTTCATTTTTTACATATATGCCATGTTACCTTGTTTTAAAAGAGGCCTATTTCACTTTATAAGTTAAAGTAGTTGTATATTTAAATATGAGTGATTTAGGAGTTGTAAATTTAAAAATTAAAGTTCAGGTTCTAAATATTAAAATACATAAGAATTGAGTTGTATTTATGGAAATGCCCATATCATTAATTACAATGCTTGCTTTGCAGGTAACTATCTTACTAAAGTGTCTTCTAATCCTGGAGCTGGGGATATTCTCATGGGTTTTCTAGGATCTGTAATTATCACATTTGCCTTTTCCATGTTCAAACAAAGAAAGGTAACTTAAAATTTGTCTTTATAATCATGGTATGCATACCATATAAATTCTTCAATCCTGGAATTTGTTGTCCATGCATTTTCAGGCTTTATAATCATTTTCCCATTTTTGTTCTCATTGAATTTTTTGTGTTGAGCATCCATAAATGTAGCTATATGACTTATTTTCTCTCATCTATAGCTTATTAAGCGGCACGCAGCAGAGATTTTCTCATCAGTGATCATCGCAACAGTCTTCTCTTTGTACTCTACTGCTGCCATAGGGCGGCTTATTGGGCTTGAGCCAACTTTAACTGTGTCAATCTTGCCAAGATGCATTACAGTGGCTTTAGCCTTAAGCATTGTTTCTTTCTTTGAAGGTAAAATACTATACTTTTGTAACCACTGTTCTTATCACAGCCAAGGGCCAGTGTGGGATCACTTCTATTTTTTTTGTTTTACTTTTATTTTTATTTATTTATTTTATAATTTTGATTATGTTTTACTTTGAAAACATGTTTATTAATGGTGGTTGTTTTTGAAAAGACTCTAAACATATAAATGTTCTTTTGACTCTTTTGAAAAACAAGTTAATTTGTTTTCAAAAGCAAAAAATAAAAGGAAGATTCACGTACATGGCACTCAATTCTTATGTATTTACATATCTAATACATAAATCAGTTTTTACACACATAACACCATATGCTTGTAAAGGTGTATTTCACTTTTTAAAAGTTAAAATGGTGATATTTTTTTATGTGATATGAAAGATTTGGCTGGTATAAAAGTAAAAAAATTAAAGTTTAGGTGTTAGATATGTAAATAAATAGAAACTGGGTGGTATTTATGTAAATGCCACAAAAAACAAAAAAAAATGCTCCCAAACATGCCCTGAAGGACTGAAATGGTTTTAATTTGATTATGAAGGGTTACCCACACTAAAATGGAATATCATATGCATTATTTTTGTTTTGTTTAGGTGCAAATACATCTCTTACTGCTGCCGTTGTTGTGCTCACCGGTCTGGTTGGAGCTAATTTTGTTCAGGCTATGATGGATAAGCTTGGTTTGAATGATCCGATTGCTAGAGGAATAGCGACAGCTTCTAGGTATGATTTTTTTCCCATTGTCATTTTTTAAGTTAAATTTAATTTCCCATTTAGTTGCTTGTTGATATAAAGCGCTTTTTTTTTTATGAATTTTGCTAGATTCCACCATTTTGTCAATTGTAGATAGAATTCAGTATGGCCTTAAATTCCACAAAATCCGTAACTACAAATATTTCATTTTTTTACACGCAATTAGTTAAAGAGAACGAAAAAAAAAGCAATGTCAAAATTGCAAAAAAGCCTGCAGACAGCAAATTTGAAGTTCAAAATAATAACAAAGGAATTTGTTAAATTCATCTTCTTTTTATTCGATGTATTTAGACTCTAACATTAATTTCAAACTCAAACTTTCTAAAAACTCTCTTATAACAATGATTTCATTTTCAAGTTCAAAATGTGAGGCAATAAAACCATTACTTTCTAAAACACATGCTTTATTTGTAGTGACATTTACATGCATACTTCCCAATTTCTATGTATTGACATATCCAACACCTAAACTGTGATGTTTACATTTATACCACCCAAGGTATTCCTATCACATAAAAACTACCACTTTTCTAATTTTTAAAAGTTGAATTACACCTTTTCATGCATGGGTAAGCGGTATGTATGTAAAAACTGAAGTTTAGGTGATAAATATGTAAATGCATAGGAATATATAAATCTACCTTTTGCTTTGAGCTTTTGTTTTTTTTGATTTACTATTTGTTTGTGGTCAGTGCTCATGGACTGGGGACAGCAGCTTTATCAGCCAAAGAACCAGAGGCTCTTCCATTCTGCGCGATTGCTTATTCGCTCAGTGGAATATTAGGCTCCCTACTTTGCTCAATACCAGCTGTTAGGCAAAGCTTACTTCTGATCGTGGGCTAGAAATTAAAGAGAGTCTGCTATGAGAGCTTAATAGAGAAAGTTTATGCTATAAATGCATCACATTAATGAAGTCAAGGGGTAAAAGTGTAAATAAGCTTTTGGATGAGGGAGGAATTGTAATTTCATGACACAATCATTTATGTTTATGCCAGATTATAATTTATGAAATCAAATTAAATGCAGATGTTGAGCTTCATATGTTGAACAATTTAAGTAGTCAGTGTGGGCATGTTTTAAGTAAGGTCTTTTACAAACAAACTGCTCAATTTTTAAGTATTTATGTACTTAAGGCCAATATTTTGCTTTCTATATCATCCAAATCTTTGGTATCAAATAAAAATTGCCACCATACATTTTCATGTATAGGTAAATTGATATGAATGTAAAAAAATGAAGTTGAGATGTTGTATATGTAAATACATAGGAATTGAGTGGTAGTATGTAATTCTTCCATAAGAAAATTAAGAAATTACTAACAAATTGCAAATACTTTGATATATAATTACATTAATGGTGTGAGCAAGATTAAAAATAGCAAATTACTAAAAAATTGCAAGTACTTTGTGATATAATTATGTTATTGGTGTGGTTAAGATTAACTTCAATGACATAATAAAATTTAAAAGATTATCGACCTCATGTTTGTGAGGACCTCCTTTCTCTCTCTATAGAAACCTAGGATTTAGCCTTAGTGTTCCCTAGTGACCTTCTTAGATAACTGAAGATGGAACTCATCCATATAGGACTTCTAACGAGTCTTTCACTCACTTAGGGTTTACTGAGGTTAAGCCCAAATCCTCAACCATTGGTTGAGATGGTTGAGGGTCTAGCCTAATGAAAGCCCAAGTTGACTTTCTATAGGTGGAAGAAGCCTTAGGTTACCTATGGAACTCAAAACCCTATGAATTCCCCTAAGGACCCTTTGAATATCTCTGGGATTCTCATTGACCTAGGAAGAGCCCATCAGACAGGAGCTTAGGCCTAGGCCAATGAGAGGTTCTTATCACATTACACTAAAAAGGCCCTGAAAAATCCCATGACAACCAAATTTGAAGGGAGAGGAGTGATTCACCAAAGTTAATCCCCGGTCTAACCTAATGCTTTCCCAACACCAATCAACCCTAAATTTGACATGAACCCCAAACCCATCAACTCAGCCCTAAGAAATTGAAATCACCTAGGGTAACCCAAATTGAATTGAACCTAAATCAACTTGAGTTAATTATGGAACGATTGAGCTCATTGAAACAAAACCTAACTTAATTCAAGGTGATTAAGACCTAAAACCACTTAGGAATCAAAGTATCATTAGGGAGGCAACCTTTTATAATTAATCTAATTATTTAATTAGACTAATTATAAGGGCCCATTAAACCTAATCATTTGGGCTAAACCTAAAGACATTTAGGCTTAGCTTAACCAAAAAATCCCAAAGCCTAAACCCAAGCTAAAGCCCAAGCCATCACGAGAGGCCTTAGCCCAAACCATAAGACTCATGACTTGAGCCCACATTATTTGACCCTAATGACCCACCATGACACATGGGTGACACAAAATAATAAACTAAACTAATTTAGCCTAATCCAAACACTAAACGACAAAGCATGAACCTTTAATCAAGGGGGATTGCCACATGGAACCAATGTCCAAGCCTCCCAAATCACTTCATGGGTGGGTCAAGTCAAACCATTTTTGAACCCAACCACCACATCAAAAGCTCCCCCAATCCCTTCACACATTGGGTTTGCCATCTTCTTCTCCATTGGAGCATCCATGGTCAAAGAAATTCCCCCATTGGAGCCTCTTTCTTCTGCCGCCAAACCCTTCTCTGTTAACTCTATTACCAATGATGACCCACTTCTCGTCATTGTGTCTCCTAAGAATGGGAAAAATATTACATTAGGACTCCAAATGTAGAGCTACGTTTGGAGTCCATTGATATACGGACACATAGAGGTGACATAAAAATTTTAAAAAAATCATTTTAGCACAGGACAATATTCCTCCTGTATCTTTCCACATTATTCAGATGTTATTGTGGTGGTATTCATATGTTATTGTGTTCACAATAACACATCAATACCACCATAATAACATTTGAATAACGAAAAATAATACAAGAGGAATATTCTCCTGTGTTGTCGGGTAGAATCACAGGAAAGCGCGTTCCTTGAAGCAACGTGTCCGCATATCAGTGGACTCTAAACGTAGCTTTACATTAGGAGTTCTGATGTAATATTTTTCTGTGGTATGACCTTAGCGGGGGCAATGATTGTTCTTATGACTTTCTTTCCCATATCCTATTCCAACCTCTCTCTACCATACCTCCAAGAGACGCTAACAAATACATGATGTAGGCGGTGGAGATACTGATCCTCTACAACATCTTGTTGCTTAGCTGGCTTGTCGCCGACAATGAATGTGATCTACGCCCATTGAATCCATCGAAACCAATGACGAACAATGAAAAATGATCTCCCACTTGTTCCTTCCACAATGGGGTTTTCTTTTGAGAACATCTCGCTGATCTTGCATCTCAAAGCCAGAGTAGTGGTTGATCCTTGCCTTCTCAGTTTCTGACGAAGCTTATCGTCGTTGAGGACACCATCCAAAGCTTCGATAGCTAGATTCAATTATACAAATACGTTGCGCTGCCCGACACAAACTCGAGATTACTATTCAAAGTCTGACTTTAGTGTCATAGTGATGGATGGTGGTAATATAGCCAACAAAGTGTTTTATATGTAAATGATGAAGTTCAGGTGTGAAAATATAAATTCGAATGTTTTTTTGTGTTATGTATATAATTCAACTAAAACTTAAATAATTTATCAATTATATCTTGTCTTATATTTCGAGCTCAAAAGGTGTGTTCGTGTTCGGCTCGTTTGTCTTATATTTCGAGCTGTTCACAAATAAAGAGCCATTTTGACAATCCTAATCGCGTAGCCATAATATGCTAAAGGTTGAGACAATATTTAAAAATTATTGTTTATATTAAAACATCATTTGAATTTACCTTAATAATTTTTATTCTATTTTCTTAAATAGTGTTTTTAATTCATTATAAAACTTTGTAACCTTATAGTCAATTAAAATTTTTAAAAATAGTACTCATCTAGTTATAAATAAATTATATATATATATAATCAATGAGTAGTACTTTGAGTTAAAACGATCCAAACACGAGCGAATTAGTTTTGTTTGAGTTTGGCTCGTTTACCTAGCGAACGGGCCGGCATAGCGAACGAGCCGAACACGAGCTTCTTAAAAAGCCGAACAAAATTGCGCTATATGCGAGCCGTGTTACTGCGCACGTAGAGTACGTGCGTAGCCAATAAAATCACGTCACTACATCTCGCGCGACAGAAGAAAAAAACGGCACAGTAACACGGGGGATATTCCCCCCGTGTTATTCATGTGTTATTGTGTGTTATTCATGTGTTATTGTGTCCTGGGAATATTCCTGATGTTATAATAACGCAATAAAACATCAATAACACATGAATTACACACAATAACACATGGATAACACAAGAGAAAATATTCCCCCGTGTTACTGCGTCATTTTTTTCTCTGTCGGGAATATTCCCCGTGTTATTCAAGTGTTATTGTGTGTTATTCATGTATTATTGTGTCTTGAGAATGTTTTTGATGTTATAATAACACAATAACACATGAATAACACATGAATAACATACAATAACACGCAATAACACATGAATAACACAGGGGGGAATATTTCCCGTGTTACTGCGATGTTTTTTTTTCCCTGTCACGCAGGATATCGTGACATTATTTTATTGATTACACACGTTAATTCTACATCAGTATTATGTAATATTTTTTTGATTTTGAGAGAGAGATATCTGTGTGAGTGCGTGCATAGTTTATAAAAAAAATTGATAGCATTTTTCCACGAGATCGCAAAGTGAGTCTAGGGCTCGCTGGCCCGGTGGCCAAGATATAGAACAAAAAATGGGAAGGTGACAACCGCAGAGGTAGAGAACGATGGAGTAGTTAAGTGACGTTCGCGACTTTGATGAGATTGTGTGGAGCGTGAGTGGCATCGGAGAAACAAAGGTAACTGTGCTCTTGATTCGTCTAACATTTTTAATCCTTACCTTGTCCTTCCTCCTCTCCGGCCATCGCCGGTTGTTGCCAACAGCTTCTCTTCGGCGTTCGTTGGAGAGATGACTTTTCTCTATAAAGTTTTACTTCCTCTAGCCATATCGAAGAAAACTCGGCTCTGTTTGATTCCTTAATTTGTTTCATTGAACCTCTGTTCTTCTACGTTTTAGCGTTGATCGTAAGAACTTGACTTAAGCTTGCCAATGCCAGTATCTTTCATAGCATCAGAGGCAGATTCTCTCCAGCTGCAAGGGCAAGTGAAACATGGGAGCTTGTTCCCTAGTGTCCCAAAGATTAAAAAGAAGATTAGAACTTGTTCTTCCCTTAAATGTAACTACTTCATGTTACTCTTCTTTCAGGTAATTTGTTATCATATGATTCGACTGTTCAATCCATTACTCCTTCAAACCTTAGCTTTTCTTTATGTTATTTTGCCTAGGGGCTCTCCTGTCAATCCTGAGGAGTGCAATTTCTTCAGCCTATATGAATATCATTGGGCCTTCAGAAGTTTTAGCTGCAGACCTCTAAAATCCTCTTTATTTTCACAAAATAGAAATATGCAGATGCACATACGCCCATTCAGGTGAGGAAATATCTATGTTGATATTTGAATTTATCATGTCATTTGGGATTATTTAAAGCTATAAGTTTCATTTGAAATTCAATCATATCTTTTGCTTGTTTTGGGGGTATTATCCATGCAAATTGATCAGAAGCAAACTTACAGAAGTATTTCTTTTGTTTGATTCTTGAAGCTTAGTCTTCCTGTGCTGAATAATAACAGCAGTGGATCAGAATAATTCAAAGCAGAACTCAAACCTCACTTCAATACAAACAACCCCAAGAAATTAATTCAAGAGAACACTTTACTGTAAAATAAACTTATTCTGTTAGAATCTTTTCAGTTATACAAGTGTTATATATATACATTGGAAGTGAATTGATAAGTAATGTAATGTCTTTCAGAAAATATATCTGAATTACAGAAATGAACTTCCACTCCTCTTTTTCGTAGAAGAACATTGGGTTGAAAAAAAAGTCAGTTCTATAAACTTCTACACTCTTTTCCCCCTATTGTCTTGAAAAAAAAGTTAGTGCTATGGTCCCCTATTGTTTGATCCAATATGGGGTCGAGCCCCGACTTCCATAGGTCCTTGGTTCGACCTCCCGCTAGCGCCTTGCTTTTCTTTCTGAAAGCTCCGCGCTCATTATCCTTACTGTTCTCTCTGCTTGGGCGCCCTCCCATTGCTCTAGCCATAAGCTATGTCCAGCTCGCACCCACTCTGACCCGCCCTGCGAGGCCAGAGTGAGCTTAGCGGTTAGCCTCTGCGTTAGGGGGTCTTTCGCTTTTGCCGGATCTATAGAGATATTACGAGTCCTCCGTCCTAGATTCCCTCTAGCGGCCATTTGGTTCATCGGTACTACAAAAAAGTCTCATGCTTACGTTATTGTGACTTATATAGAAGTCTGATCTCGGACCAGGAAGACCTCAATCGTGTTTCTTGTTTCCATTCCCATCATCACTTGAAGGAAACTCCTCGTGCTCTGCCATAAGAACTTGGAGTTCGTATCATGGTGAAGGTAAGGTCACACTGTGATTCTTGCTCAAAAAACTGATCGAACGCGTTCGAGTTATTGGCTCGTCCAACCCGGCTGCATTCATGAGTCGCTCGTTCAACTGTCCTCGGAGACATGGTCGAGAAGTGCCATGCATGGTCGTCCCCCATCCTTTCTTTCTCTCGGTCCCAGCCGGGTAAGAAAAAAATGGATAAAAAAACGAGACTTCTGCTACAGGCTATGCCACCCATTATTAATGAGGGAAGTAGCATCCGTCTGAAGCACCTACAATGTCATGATCACATTGGTTGACCCTTTTTTGGTAGCTCAACGAACGGTCGCCCCTCCAACAAGAAAATGTAGAAATATGAAAACTTCTCTGCCATTTGGATAAGAGAATTTATGGAGGAAATCGGGTTTGAAATTCCCAGAAACCGCACAATTATATAGCCAAAGGGAATACGTCGCGCCTAAAATCATCCCAAGCGCTGGTATCATAGCGTTATCCTCCCGGAAAATCGAAAGTCTGATTTCACACCTGTATTGCAAACTCTGATCTACTACATCTCTCTTTCCCTTCTTCAATCTCAAATTACAACAATTTCGGATCATTCATGAAATACAAGATTTGAAGAAAGTGATTCGAGCCCATTCAAAATGGGTATGATCACTATTCCTCTTCAAGTTAAATTCATCATGAACAATATCAAGAATATAGTTCAAGCTCAGTTAATACCAGAAAATCATCCCACCTGGCAATCCCAAATACTCAAATTATTTACAGCAAATGGGGTGGATTGATTTCTTGACGGATCAACACTTTGACCTGCTCCCCAAACATGCTCACCAGATGGTTCATATCAACCGAATCCAAACTATGCTTTTTGGTTTGTGATAAATCATAATCTTGCCATTGCACTTAACCATTTCACCATCAATACTACCAATGCGCTGAATATGGAATCTTGTAAAGATATATGACTCACTTCCGAGCATCGTGTTCAATCCAAGAACTGATCGCACATCAACCATCTTAAAAACAACATTCATAATCAGTCCATGAAGGATCTAAACATGACACAATATATTTCATCTATAAAATCCAAGATAGATGCTATTGCTGCTGCCGAATTCAAGATAGATACAAAGGGTATCATTTACTAGAACTCGAATGGAGTACCATAGACATATCAAGCATTTAAAATGACTATTAGAATAAATCTTCAACCGATCCACTTAGACGATTTTTAGTCACTATTGTGTAGTGAGGAAACTAATTTGGCAATTGAAACTCAGGAAATTACAGTTGGTCACACAAAACAACAGGCTCATGACAGAAAAAAAAGATACCGAAAAAAATATAATGGAAGAGGGTATTAGCATAACAATAACAACAAACCAAACTCGCACAATTTTAAATCAAAGCAATTTTCTTCAACTAGATATCGTGAATACCGCAATAGGTCTTGATTTGCTTGCCAAATATGCAACAAATAAGGTCATTCGACGGCAAAATGTTGGCACAATACTTGTCATACTAGCCCGCAAACCCAGAGGATATGATAGCATATGATAACAATTCCACTCGAGTGGCTCCTAGACACGAGGGCTACCTTTCATCTCACCTCTGATCATACACAATTGCACAACAGTCAACCATATTGGGAATCACAACACATTATGGTGGATAATGGTCAATCTTTACCTATTACTCATGTAGGTCAAAGTCTCTTGTTCACCCCATCTCGGAAGTGTAATAACTAAATTTTAAATAATATAACAATAATAAATATAATAATAATAATAATAATGTAAAGTAAATATGGAAAATAAATTTTGAATCAGCATGAAAGGAATAATCGTTTGGTCGATTTTGCTTAAGAGACAAGCTTCTCTTTCGAACTCAAACGAAACTGATAATTAGACCGAGAGAGCAAGTGTGGAGAAGGATGGGGGTTTTCTAGTATGATTCTCATGCCATCGATTTCG